CGCCTGGATGCCACCCTGTGCCCCATGCTCTGGGTGTCCCTGCTGGAGCAGGGGCTGCACTGGGTGATCCCTGGAGGTCCCTTCCACCCTCAGGCGTTCTGGGATTCAGAGGATGGGGGACAAGCGTGGGGAAGGAGCCGCTGAGGAGGTTCCTTCAGTGCCACCTCTCCAGCTCGGCTCCCCCAGCCCGCGCGGCCGCGGTGCCGTCGGGGCGCGCGTCACCGCTCCCGTCGTTCCCTAGTTCACGCTGGGCGGCTTCGAGGCGCTGCAGGCGCTGAAGGTGCAGAGGAGGCAGGAGCTGGGGCTGCCGCCGCTGCCCGAGGCCTCCTCCCGGGGGCATCGCGGGCTTCCCCGCGCGCGTCCCGCCTTCCTCCCGCGCTCCCTCTTCCTCTGCAGCCCCTGGTGAAGCAGGACAGCCTGGATATCTACAATGAGAGGGACCCCTTCAAGAATGACGAAGGAGGAGTGGATGAAGAGGAAGCCGATGACGTGGACGGTGGCATCGAGGGCGAGCTGGACCTCATGGAGCGGGATGCGGTGATCCCGGCCGTGCCAGCTCAGTGCCCGCCTGTGGAAAAGGTGTCCTTCCCCAAAGGGCTCCCCTGGGCCCCCAAAGTCAGGTAGAGTTTCGGTGTCACCCTCTTTTCTCCTGGTCAGGGTTTGGTTGGGGCCTTCCCCACTCTTTGCAAGTCAAGGGTGGCCAAGGTTGGCCAGTAATGATGGAAAGGCCAAAGCCACAAGGGAGGTGGGTGGTGTTGGCTGGAGAGCCACGTGCGGCCGGGCTGGCTCCTAGATACGTCACCTCGAGGCTCGTTCAATAAAGTGGCCTCTCATTTACTGCGTTTGCCTCCGGTCTGGCCAGACGGAACCTTCTTGAGCAGCCCCCATCTCGGCTGTGAAACGGGAGAGGATGAACTTGGTGCCTTCCCTTTCTGAGACGGATGCTGCTCTATAACCCGGGAGAAGAGGATGAAATGCTGCGCCCCTTCCCTCAAACCCGTGCAGGCTTTTTGCTGTTGGGCCAGTGCCCAGATTTCATCCAGCGTCTTTAAAATGCCAGAGCAAATATATTTCCTGGCTTGGGAGCGGCGCCGGGATTAAGTGTGCTCATCCAGAGCACTCGGAGCAGGGACACAGTGAGGATCTGCTTCCCAAATGGGTCCCTGCACATGCAGTGCCATCATATTCCATGTTAATGCTCTCCATCTAATTTTTGCTCTATTTTTTGCTCGCCCTCCCGTAGCCGTGGAGGGACGTTTCTCCGTGCAGAGCGTGCGGATGCTGCCTGCTCTTAAAACCTCCAATAATCGATGCTAGGAAGATAAAAGGTCCCGGCCGGTCATACATGGCTGTTCTGATAAGTGTCTGTTTTCCTCCCTCCTGGTTCTTGTTTCTCTGCCCCTCCACCAGACAGAAGGACATCGAGCATTTCTTGGAAGCGAGCAGGAACAAGTTCATCGGATTCACGCTTGGGCAGTAAGTGCTCCGTTTGCCATGGAGGAAAGGAAAGCTGGGTGTTCCAATATTCCGCTCCTCCCAATAACAGGATATTCCACCCATTTTCTGGAAGCTTTGCTGGGGAGGGGAGTGTGGGTAGCTCAGGCGAAGAGCCCTGGGCTCAGCAAGCTCCAGGCCTCCCCTTCTGCCTTTTGGTCTGAAAATGAAGTGTTTTGACCCAGATGTCCTCCCAGCCTTGTCCTTACCTTCTCCCTTGCCCTGCAGAGACACCGAAACCCTAATAGGGCTACCCCGGCCGATCCACGAAAGCGTGAAGACCCTCAAGCAGGTAAGGTCTGTGGGGAGCCTGAAATCCTGCTGAGGACACCTGCTTATCTTGCCCCGAGCCTTGCTAGGGATGCTGTGCTTCTTGGCAAGGGTCGGATATCTCGTGGAGTGGGAGACACCCTTGCCAAGGTCAGCAGAGGGATGGGGACATGCCCGAATTGGTCTCACACACAGCTTTTGTGATCGGGCACTCATGACAAGCAGCAGGTTACCCAATACATGCTCTTGGCCAACAGCAATGTGAAAGGTTCCAGTTGTTTGCAGTGCTTCCGAGCTGAGCTCCTGCTCTCCCGGGCTTGGGAAGTCAGTCTGGTAAATCCAAGGGTGTGAGCAGCTTCAGAGGGTCTGGATGCCCAGCTGTGCCTGCTGCTGCGCCCTTCCCTGTGGTGGGAATTGCTTCCTTGCCTCCGTCCCATTCGCACAGACCCCGGAGACTTGTCCTTGCACTTGCTGCTCGGCCGTGTGTGGCTCTTCACGGTCTTCCAGCTGGAAAAAAGTGGCAAAGACCAAGAGGACTCAGTGCTCCCTGGCTACCACTGCTGAAACAGCCCTAAGGGCTGCAGTTAAATCCTTCTTTCCAGGCGGACGCTTGGAGCGATTCCTCTCCAGGCCCGTTTTGCTGCTCAAGAGGCCCCTTCTGCTCCCAGCCCCCTTGGTTGCCAGCCCCATCTGCCACGTCCTCGCTTGATCATTTGTGTCTTCCCCATCTCCCGTCATCCCTAGTCCAACACCCTCCTTACCAGGTTAGCCAGCCCATTGGCCAAGATACTTCTGCACTGCTTGGTCAGCTGGACCCCATCTCTACCAAGACAGTCCCATGATCATAGAAATGAAACCAACTATTGACACCAGCTGCACAACCTGTTGTTGACCCCATGTTCGAGTCTCTTCGGGCCTTCCCCCCCTCACCAGCAGGGACCAGCTGAACCCCACGACCTTGTCCTTTGCCCCCAGAGCCATGTCAACATGTTGATGCTCTCCAGGTGTCCTGGGCAGGATTGCAGGTGCCCACGTGGAAGAGCAGCAGGGTAATAGTCTAGGGGGGTGGACGAGTCTCTCCACAACGTCCCAGATCTGAGCCCCCACAAGCAGCCCGTGTCCCTCGAGGGCAGGTGAGGGGCACATTGCCCTAAGGGCAGCGTCCTCTGGGGATCAGGGGCTCCGTTTGACCATGGTCCCAGCTCCTTGACCGCTACAAGGGGTACCTATCCTGGCGTCTCAAGTCTGGTGGACCAGAAGCCACCAGCCTTCTCCATGCCAGGAGCTTCCCCTTCCTGAGCCCATAGGCACCAAATCCACAGCTGGAGGTTGTCCAGGAGCTGCAGCATCAGGGTCCAGGAGCTGCTGCTCAGAGATGAGATGGTCAATGATCTCCTCCTCTCCCTCCCCATGGGGTATGTTCTGCTCTCCTCATGCAGCTCCTTGACTCGGTGCGAGCCCAAGCACTCCTGGCCATCTCAGACACTATTGCTTGGGGTGGCAGGGAAACACCAGGTAAGCTGTCACTGCTCAATGCCTTCATCCTTTAGCTGTTGTATTTCTCTGCCTTTATCTGTGTATTTTGCCAGCACAAGTACGTTTCCATCTCCGATGTGCAGATCAAGAACGAGGAGGAGCTGGAGAAGTGCCCTATGTCCCTGGTAAGAAGTCGCTGCCTTCCACGGCCAGGTGGAAACATGAAGGGAGGGTGGTGGAAGCAGCAGCCTCTGCGTGGTGTCACCATCGCGTGGTTGTCCCACCCTGATGACCTGAAGGCTCTGCCAGTGCCTAGTTGTGCTACAGAAATCCTTAAGTTCCCCATGATCCTTAGGATGCACCTTGGATGCTCCCTGTTCTACAGCAACACCCTGTTGCCATCAAACTTAACAGCAGAGAAGGGCCCATCAGCGTCCTGCAGGCCATGGCCATGACTAAGTCCTCCAGTTGGGTTTTGTGCAGGTGGCCAACATGCCTCACATGGACTTTCCCTGTGTTTCTAATGCTTCTTTGGGCTAGGGGGAAGAGGAAGTCCAAGAAACACCCTGCGAGGTCTTGTATCGAGCCATGTTGTATAATCTGCCCCAGTATATGGTAAGGCCACGTCCCTTAGAGCTTATTGTGGTGGGACGATGGGCTGGTGAGACCCTCTGGGCTTGAGGGCGCTGCCTTTGCTGCTGTTGGCAGCCCTGCACTGAGGGTCCTCTCGCCCTGCAGATCGCGTTGCTGAAGATCCTCCTTGCTGCAGCTCCCACCTCCAAAGCCAAGACCGACTCCATCAACATCCTGGCAGACGTGTTGCCTGAGGAGATGCCGTGAGTCCATCCACTGGCCAGCGGCTC